TTTCTGCCTCGCTGCGTGGCCTGCGGGACGTGGACCCTCGACCTGCGCCAGGGTGTGCGCCGGCCCGTTTTCTGCCTCGCTGCATGGCGGGGACCCTCGAACTGCGCAAGGGCGTGCGCCGGCCCGTTTTCTGGCTCGCTGCATGGCGGGGACACTCGAACTGCGCCAGGGCGTGCGCCGGCCCGTCTTCTGCGCCGCTGCGTGGCCTGCGGGACGTCGACGCTCGAACTGCAGCAGGGCGTGCACCGGCCCGTTTTCTGCCTCGTTGCATGGCGGGGACCCTCGAACTGCGCCAGGGCGTGCGCCGGCCCGTTTTCTGGCTCGCTGCATGGTGGGGACACTCGAACTGCGCCAGGGCGTGCGCCGGCCCGTTTTCTGCCTCGCTGCGTGGCTTGCGGGACGTGGATGGTCCGAATGCCCCACGGTGTGTCTTCTCAGCTCTGCGAGGTTCCCGCAGATGAAACAACCAGATGAGCAAAGAGGACATTCATGGGCACACAACAATGTATATGGGCGGACGCGCATACAACCATTCACTGTCTACTCGCACATAGAGCACCCTTCCCGGTTTGTCGACAGCGACCATTACAGCAACTGCATCCTCGATGTGCACAAATGGCTGGCTGGCGAAAAAGGTGCTTTCCCAACGCAGTCGCACCGGCGCTTGTGTGGGCTCCACTCCGCACCTTCAACCTGCCCCGATTCGATTTGTTTGCTGTCTGGTGATGTCCATCACCGTGTCGCGAGTGCGGCACCATGTTCCACCACACAGCTGGCCACAATGTATGTACTCGGAGCTTCGCACCGAAGACCTCGCCTGTACATTGTCATGTCGGTATGCTCAAGACTTCGTACCAGCACGATTTGGAACAAGAATGCCCCACTCACATCTGCGTCATCGAGCACAGCCAGTTGGCTCCACCTCTGCACACAGACAACAAGGACTGCGATACAAGCAGCCCCGCACCTGAACAAGACTGTCAGTGTGTCCACGAACAGCCGGCGTACAAATTCGTACCTCGTCCGAGCCCGGCTCAGGCTGTCTGTGTGTCCTGAGTCTTGATCCTGGCCGCCGTACGTACGCGAGACACTAGAAGCGTATACGTGCACCCCGTACGAGACGGTCGAGGAGAGACGGTGAAATGACGGGACTCACCTCCCGAGAACGCAGGATCCGAACGGGTCTCCGCCTGAGCCTGCCATATCACCCTCTGGGTTGTGCCGAACTGCTGTGAGATGTGTGGTAAGTGGTGCAGGCCCCATATATAAACCACACACAAACCTCGCTTCCATACCCATCCCCTCGTCCTCTTCCTCTTGTTGTCGTTTCCCTCTGCCCATCCCTTCCACCACCCGTCCCACACTGTCCGTGGTGTCCGCAAGGTGCAGGAGCACGCCGTGCCACACCGGTGCGGCCGCGGCCTTGGTGAGTCCGCTTCCCAGCGGGACGTGCCCTGCTGGCCAGTTCTGGTCAGTACATGGCGGCCGGCACGTGCGGAGGACCCGGGACCGGAGGGAGGTACGTACTGATTCCGCCCTTGTCGTCTACTGAGCCCCGCTGACGGGCTCTCGCTTCCAGCCGGCTGGTCACCACGTCGTGACGTCTGCGGCTCCGGTGAGTGCATGTACGGCCCCCTTGGGCAGGTCTAACGAAGTGCTACAGATGCGAGACGGTCAGGAACCCCGAGGACATCAGGCTCGCCGCCAGGTACGTACCGGCTCCCTCTTTGTCGTGCATGGGTCGCTGCTGACAAGTTTGCGCCTCCAGCCCACCGCGTACCGCGTGGAGACGTCTGCAGCTGCGATGAGTCTGCGTAAAAGCCCCCTGGGCACATCTAACGAAATCCTGCACATGCGAGACGGTCAGGATCGCCGAGGACACTATGCCCGGCGCGAAGTACGCACCGATTCGGTCCTCATGGGGTACGTGCCACAGCTGACGTGTCCTCGCTTCTAGCCAGCTGTGTTCCATGTCCAGACGCCTGTGGAGGTGCCCACAAATGGTGAGTTCAGTCGTCTCGCATCGGGAGTGTCCCGCTGACTCACAGGATTGGCAGGCTTGCGCCGCGAGGTCGACGAGGCCGCGGCCAGTGTTGATGGCGTGTACGAAGGTGGGTACGGGCTGGGAAAGAGAAGGAGGGCGGTGGAGCCGTATCGTAGCCGTATGTAATAGACAGGTGCAGTAGAGCACTGTCTCCGCGGTGTTCGCAGCCCAGCGGGTTCGCGGGAGCTCGCACCGCTCCCTCAGCGCGGACGGCTGGTACCTGGTGTGTCAGCGCATCGGTATTCGTCGATAAGCTCGACCGCTTACCGTTATCCAGCTCGTCGGGGCGAATCTTGAAGAATGGCGGCCGGTCCGCAGAGATTCAGGCCGGCCGGGGGTGTGGGGGGTGCCCAGATGCTGCCAGGGCAGGTGAGTGCGTTGAATGGTGCGGATGAGCTCGTAACTCACCTCGTAGCAGATAGCAGTAGCGACGCGCGCAAGAATTGCGGCGTTCAGCGGGGTTGCAGGCCGGCAGGAGGGTGAGGGAGAGAAGTCAGCGGTTAGGCGCCCGTGGGACGTCGCAGACCGCGGATGAGATCGCGTGCGACGTCCCGGCTTGTAGAGCTTGTAGAGAGCATATTAATGGTCGTAGGGTGCAGTAGAAATGATATACGGTGTCACTGAACGAATACGGCGTGAACCAGTGAGCGTAGAAGGGCGTGAATCAGGGTGGAGGGCTTACCACTTGGGAAAGCTCGTCACCTGGCCGTTGGCGACGGCCGGACGTCGACGATGACGACTTAGGCTGCATATACGAGTGCCCTGAGTGCGCTCTACGCGTCGTCGCGCATTGCAGCCGTCTGTGCCGTTCGTGTGCATCGCAAGGCGGCGGCGAGCCCTCGGTGCGCATTTTTGAATGCGTGCGCCGGTCGCCGTGGGTCCTTCGTGATGCTATAAACATGGGTATTCGCATTCGATTAATGTACGTTTCGTAGCGGTTTAGTACGCACGTTATTCCTCCCGCGCATCGCGCGCCGCGGCCGGGTCCTCGCGTGCGGCACATACCGTGGGGGTGTTCCTGCTGCAAACAACCTTTCTGTGCTCGACTAGACGTCAGGAAGGTATCTCGTACGGGTGGATAGGGCGCGTACGCACCCGCTGAGGAGCTACCCGAGAGGGGCGCACTTGGACGCCTATTCCGGCAAAAGAGGCCGCGGTCGAGATGACGCAGCAGCTCGTGCATCGCGGGCGAGCTTCAGACGTCTGGGGAATCGCAGAGAGCGACGTTTGATGGGCCCGAAGGTCGTGGAGGTGTGGGGAGAGAGCCAGGGAGCGAGCAGGAGATGTACTGGAGCCTGCAGGACGACTCCGAGACCGAGGTAGGCGATGTGCATGCGCCAGATGCGAAACCCGCGAGATATGGCGTCCGGAGCAGTCGTTGTGTGTCGTTCGAGTGTTCTAGCAGCAGTGGAGGGGTCTAGGACGCGAAAGAGAGTGCGAATCAAGCGGGAGAGCGGTCGCAGGGGCGTTCAGAGCGGCCAGATTGAGTCCCAGTGCACGGGTAACCGAGGGACGCGCCGGGGAGCGAGCAGCAGTGAGCGAGTGAGTGCAAAAGTAAGCCAGAGGCAGGGGCAGACGCGAACAGACAAGCGGGACAGAGAGGCCAGAGTGTGGCGAGAGAGCAGAGCAGAGAGCGAGCGCGATCCCGGCCAAGACGGAACCCTGACCTGAGCCGAGGTGCCGGGCAAGTACGTCACTGCGCGCCTTCTTCCCCGCACTCGACGACCTCGATCTCGCGCTCATTGTTGCTCGCACCCTCGACTGCCTCCCTGCTGCTGAACGTCGAGCGTCTCGGTCTATGCTGTCTCCCCTGGTCTGCCCTACCTGGTGGCGGCTCACCTCTGCGACACTCCTACCACGCCTCGCATATCCTGCCCGCACATTGGGCTACTCCACCACGTCCGGGACCCGCCCAGCATCATGCACCAGCCGCAATTCTCGGTGCGCGGCCTGCATTGTCGTCGGCGCAGGTCTCGCATACGGCCTCGACCGCGAATTCAACGCATCGGCTATCGGGAGAAACCTGCGGTCCCTGTGGACGGTGAGTAGCCTACTGCGCTCCCATTGCGCGTTCAACTCTCACACGACCTCTTCCACACACAGTGCTTGACGACCGCTGTATACTACAAGCTTAACTCTACGCCCGAGAAGGCGGACCAAATCACCGCTCTCCAGGAGCGCGTTGCAGAATGCGTCTATGACCCTCTTACGTCCAACGGCGGCCTCTACATCAAGATAGGTACGTCGCATCCTCTACACTCGCTATCTGCTGCTCATGTCTCGCCTGTACACGCCAAACCATTGATAATAATGCTGCCCTCCTCCCCAAACGCTTCCAAGAGAAGTTTGGCAAGCTCTTCGACGATGCGCTGCAAGTGCCCTACTCAGTCGTTGACTCTGTCTTTTGCGAAGAGTTCGGGCGCGCGCCTGCGGGACCTGACGGGGTGTTCGAAGAGTTCGAAGAAGAGGCAGCCGCGAGCGCGAGGATTGCGCAAGTGCACCACGCGAAGCTGAAGACCGCGGACGGCTCCGATTAGTGGGTCGCCTTCAAAGGTCCAGAAACCGGACGTCGGGTCGAGTGGGATCTCGGGGCATTCCGTGCCGTTATTTGGGTGTACAAGAATTACCTGTTTGATCTCCCTGTCTATTTCGCCGTTGGTGAGTCCGTACATGGGTGTTCATTGCTCATGCGCTGACACTGTGCAGATTTCATCTCGTATCACCTTCGATGCAAACTTGATTTTGGGCTCGAGGCTGAAAACGCTCGCACCACCGCCGCACTCGTCGCCTCCAAACCCCGCCTCGTAGACCACGTTTACATCTCGCGCATCTTCCCCGAGCTCTCCACCAAGAAGATCATGACCGCCGAGTGGATTGATGGCGTCCGGCTCAGCGACAAGTGCGGCATCGCGCGCCTCATGGGCGACGACCGCGCCTCCGCCTCCAGCACCGACCCGCTCGCCGCCGACCGCTTCCCGCCGCTGCGTGGGGGTGCGAAGTGGGTGATGCAGACAATGATCTACCTCTTCAGCGCGCAGATATTTGACTGGGGCTGGGTGCACTGCGACCCGCACCCGGGGAATGTAATTGTGCGCCCTCACTCAGACCCGCGTCGGGCGGCGTGTGGAGCGGCGCAGCTTGTGCTGCTCGACCACGGGCTGTATGTGCGCCTCCCGTGCGATTTCAGCAGCAGTACGCGCGGCTGTGGAAGGCGCTGCTCACGGTCGACTTTGCGGCTGTGAGCGCAGTCGCGGGCGAGTGGGGCATCGGTGCGCCGGACCTGTTCGCGAGTGCGATGCTCATGCGGCCCATACGGTTTGCGGAGCAGGCGCCACTACCGGACTTTGAGCGGATGAACGACTACGAGCGTGGGGTCGTGATGAAGGCGAAGCAGGCCGACGTAGACAGAAATATATTTTGTTTGGAGAGACGAGTGCGCGTGTGTCGTGGGCGGGCACTGTGTCTGGGCCGTGGGCGGGGCGCAGAACAGGCAAAACTGGCCGCGACGAGATCAACGGACTCTGGACGGACAGGGGGTGCCTATAGGGAGTACACTGGGGACAGTGAGGGAGCGGGGACTTGGAGGGGGGCATGGGGCCAGGGGAGCAACAGACTCCAAGTCCGCAAATCGCGCTTTGACATGCAAATCGGGTCGTATTGCATCGTATCGTACTCGTACTGTACAGGGTCCACGTCTCAGGCCAGGGCGACAGATACTACATGGTACAGAGTGGAAACAAGTCCCCGGGGCTCCCCCCCACTCGAACACCTCCCGGGAGCTCCATACTGGTCCGAATCGCGCGATTCGACATGCGTTGGGTCGTACCGTATTGGGGGTGCCATGTCCGCACCGCGTCGTCGCGTCAATCGCGCGGAAGTCGCGCAGAGGCCGGCGGAGAGCCCATGGAAGTCACCTCCACCCGGCCTGGCCCCTCGCACTCCTCCCAGGCGTCCTGGCGTGTCGAAACCGCGCGAGGACGTAGCCCTGCGTCGCTCAACTCCGTCGAGTGCGTCAAGACGCGGACATGTCGCCGCGCCGTCGCGAAATCGAGCGAGGGAGAGTTGGGCTCCCGGGGAGTCGAATTCTGTCCTCCCGGGCGTCGAAGTCGTCGTAGGGGGCCGAGGTCGCGCACGCGCATGGCGTGGAGTCTTTCCGTACGCTTCAAAGCGGCAGAATTGTCCAGATACAGAGCGGAATCGCGGAATCGAGCGGGGGAGACTCGGGGGGCCGGAGACTGGCTGTGAGCGCCAAAACCGCGCTCGTGGACTTGAACGTGCGTGTCGCAGGCTGAGATCGCGCGTGGGGGAGGTCGGAAGTCGTATCTATCCGGTACACGCATCAAGGCGCGGGTGAGCGGCTGCGAACGCGCGGAATCACAGCCGGGAGAGTCAGGGCACTCGAACTGGCTGTGAGCGTCAAGTCCAAGCTCACTGACTCAAACGAGCGTGTCGCGCGATACAATCGCGCGTAGGCGGAGTGTAGGATCGTGTCCTGCCGCGTCACCAGTTTTCATGCAGTGGTGTGGCTGCGAACGGGCAGAAACGCGAGAAAACGACGGCAGGGGACCCGGGGACCAGCTGTGGGAGTGGAGTGCAGCCTCGGGCCGCTCGCAGGCGCGCCGGGTCGCCCGAATCGCGTACGCGGGGTCTGGAGCGTCGTACCGTACTGGTGGGGCCATCGGACACTCGCTGTGTCGTTGCAGACACGCGAAATCGCGATTGGGAGAGGCAGGGGCCTGGGGACTGGCTGAGGGCGCCAAATTGAGCCTTCCTGGGCGTCGCAGTGGTCGGATCGCCACGAAATCGTGCACGCGGAGAGCGTAGAGTATTACCTTTAGGTAAAGCCCGCTTGGACGCGGCGGCATGGTGGCGTCGTTGCGAAGTCGCGATTGGGAGACTAGAGCGCCCAGTGCTGGCTATGGGAGAAAAGTCCAGCCTCGGGCCGGCGGTAGACGTCCTGGGCTGCCGAAGTCGTGTGCGTAGAAGGTTCTGTGTCGTACAGTACCTGTCGCACCGTCGAAATGCGTCCGCGTCGACGTGTTCTTGCGAAATCGCGAGAGAGGGCGTCGGGAGTCCTCGGGAGCCGAGTCCTCGGCTCGAGGAAGTTGTTGGTGTCGTACAGTGCCGAAAACATGTGCCTGCGCACCTGGGACTTGTCCCGCGCCGCGGATAGCGTGTGGACGCGGATGCGCAGCCGCACCGTCGCGCTATCAAGAGAGGGGCCGGGAGAGGGCTGTGGGAGCGAACTCCGAGCTTCGCAGGCCTCGTAGACGGTCGTCGTAGTCCGCGTACGATCGCGTACGCGATGTCCCGGCTTGTCTGACACGCCTCCTTCGCAGGTCCGTACTGGACGGTCGAACCGCGGCCGCGCAGGCATGACAGAGCGGGTGGGTGGGACGATGCGCAGAGGGTGAGCGGGAGGAGGCCGGACGAGATCGTATAGTAGCTGTGTTTACTCGATAGGTACGGTAGCAGTCGAGGGGCGCGGTAGTCGTCATGGCGGCGCTGCGAGCGCATACACTGGTCTCCCGATGCAAATACCTGGTACATTGTGCGTCAGTTCGTCTAAATGCGCCCATATACCTGCTGACTCACAGGTGTTCGCGCAGTTTGGCGGGTGCCACCGCCGATGGGAGGCGATTGGGGGCCGCAGGCGGTGTGCCGAGTGCGCAGGTGCCTACAGGCCCGGTAGGTGCGCCGAGTTGCGCGTAAACTCTCGTACATACCCACGACATGTCATGTGAACGATTAACGAGGGAATCACGGCGTTTGGAGTGGGTGGAGGCCGGCGAGCAGGTCCGCGACGCAGGTCGTCAGATAGGCGCCCGTACGACGTCGCAGTGCGTGGACGTCTGCGCGGAGGATGTCACGGCTGGTAGGGCTTGTAGTCGGTCTTGTAGTAGTCGTAGGGTATCGTAGGAATGGAATACGTTGTCCTGGAACGAAACCAGTGTGAATTAGTGAACGTACAAGCAAGTTAGATAAGCAGGGGGCGTACCCAGATCAATATCGTAAAGCAGCGGCCTGCAACGGCCTTGGGGGCAAGTGCGACGTCTTGGAGAGCATGCAGGATGGCCTGGCATGCGTGTGTGTACGTGTGGTGGGTGTTCGTGGTCGACGGCGCGGGAGGAGAGCCTGTAAAGCACAGCAGTCAGCACACAACCCTCGAAAGCGACAGAATGCTCACCGGGTCTGTATGCAGGCTGTATGCCCGATGAGGTGTGTGCTGGCTGTGCAGTCGAGCGTCGCAGCCGTCCCCACCAGCTGCACAGGACGCGCATCGGCGCAGTGGGGACCGTGGTGAGCGCCGGATGCGCGTTTGCGAACGGCCGCGGGGATCACTTTCGTTCTTTCGGGATCCTGTAGACGTGAGGGATCTCAGTCAATCCCAGGACGTTGCATATGAGGCCGGTACTCGCCGTGTTCTTCCCGCGCGTGGCGCGTTGCGTGGGCGGAGTCGAGTCCTGCGTGATGCGCACGAGATTTGTGGCTCAAAACGGTGTCGTTGTGCTGAGATAGAGGTAAGGATCAAAAGCTTTATTAACAGACAGGGCCCGGACGTACCGGCTGGCAAGCTGCCCAAGACAGGGAGCGTCGGGCGCCTATCCGGGCGAGGGAGGCGTCGCACTTGCATGGAAGGGTGTCCAAGCGGGCTACAGATGTCCAGGACGTCGAGCAGGGCAAAGGAGAGGGCCCTGTGCTGGTCCCAGAGCCATCGCAGTCGACAGAGGGCGAGTAGGGACGTCCTAGGCGTGATGGTGTCGTCTAGAGGGGCATTGTTTGTTGCCAAGTGCTCTGGCAGGGTCGAGGGTGCGAGAGAGGGCCGCTGTCGGGTGTGAGCAGCGAGCGCAGCGGGAGAGGAGGCGTCTGTGTGGCCGTCCAAGACGGACATGGCCGCACAGGAGAGCGGCAGGCGGAGCGAGGGGGGTCAGATCGAGGTCGAGCCTCCAGCCGAGGGACAAGTGCTCGAGCGCTGGCTTGTGCTCAGATGGTGCGTGGGCCAGGCAGGCGAGACTTAGACAGGGACAGGGAGAGCCGCCAGAGACCCGACAGAGCGAGAGCAGGCAGAACGAGAGAGAGAGGCGGAACAGCATCATGGGCAGACGGGCGCAGGATGCGATCGAGATAGACGCCGGCTCGATGAGAGCCACGTGGGGTGGGGACTTGGTGCAGGGGGAGCGGGAGGACTTGGTACAGCGGTCATAACTAGCAATTTCGCCGTCCAAATCGCATCATATTCCATCGTAGTGTACTCGTACTGTACAGGGGTAAAGTCTCAAGTTGGGACGCGCAAAATTACAAGCTCCAGAGGGGAAACAAGTGCCAGGGGAGCCCCTCTACGAGAACACCTCCCGACCACTCAAAACATGTCCGAATCGCGCAATTCGACGCCTTTCGTGTGGTATCGTGTCCAGCGCACCATGCGCATTCCTGCGCCGCGCGCGTCGTCGTGAAATCGTGTGCAAATCGCACAGAGCCCGAGAGACTCCCCGTGGGCGCAGAGTCTGCCTGGCCGGGCCCCTCGTAGGCATCCTGGCACGCTGAAAGCGCGCGCCCACGTACCCCAGCGTTGTTCCGTGCCGTAGAGTCCGTCCCGACGAGGCTGCGCAGCCGCAAAGTCGCAGAATCGCGAAGGGGGGCGTCCGGGGGCGCAAGGTCCGAGGCTCGTGCACTTTCAGGACGTCGTGGCGCGCTGGGATCGCGTACAGAGAGGGCTCGGAGTCAGCTGAGCGTGAATGCGTCGCGTCCAGATAGCAGTGTCGAGAGCGAGGGCGTCGGGAGCCCCGGAGCTGGCTGGCAGCCCCAGACCAGTGCAGAGCGCTGAGGACGCGCCGTGGGACGCTGGAATCGTGCACAGAGCTTGCTGAACGTCGTGGGAGCCATCTGAACTTGGCCGCACTGCTGCGAAGTCGCGGAATCGAGAACGAGGGTGTCGGGAGCTTGGGGAGCGGAGTATTGCCTCGCGCCGCGAGCAGGCCGGCTGGGGGGTTGATATCGCGCGTACGTGGTCTCCAGGAGTGGCGTGATGCCAGCACAGTGCGCGTCGCACCGCTGCAGCGCCGCAGTGTGGCGGAATCGAGAGGGAGGCCAGCGGGAGGCTGTGGGCGCCAAACCCTCTGCCGAGGGCGTCGCAGGAGGCGTAGGGCGTCGAGATCGCGCAGAGAGCTCTCCAGGGGTCATAGGATGTCGTTAGAGCCTGCGGCGCGTGGCTGCGCGGCCGAGAACACCCGAATTGCGAACAGCAGATTCCGGGGCCCCAGCACTGGCTGTGGGAGCAGAATCCAGCCCTCCAGGGCCCCGCCGTGGTTGTAGGGCGCCGTAATTGCGTATACGCGTGGCCCCGAGTCGTGCCGTACACCTGGAAGTGGTTGAACACGTCCGCATCTTCGCATCGACGCGGAATCAAGCCGGAGAGGGGCCTTGGGATTGGCTGAGGGCACCAAGTGCAGCCCTAGACGCCGTTGCAGCGGTCGTTTCGCCCCCGGATTTCGCGAGAGGGTAGCTCAGTGTTGTACCCGCCTCGACGCGTCGAGAAAACCCGGCTGCGATGTCGCGAAGTGGCGGAATCGAGAGCGGGAGTCTCCAGGAGCGCCAGAAGATGCTGTTGCAGCCAAGTCCAGCCCCAAGTGCCTCGCAGACACCCCGAGTGGCCGGAATCGCGCAAACGTGCTGCCTAGACTCATAGCAAGCCGTACATACCGTCGCTACGCGGCAGGGTCTTCTCAATCGTGCGCAATCGCGAGACAGATCCGAGGGCCTCGGAGTGGCTGTGAGGACTGGAGCGAGTTGTAGAGGTCGTGGGACACTGAGATAGTGTACGCAGATATTGCAAAGTCATTCCCTGAGGCGGAACAGGAAAACGCGTCCGCAACGTCGTGGAACCACAAAGGGGAGAGCCAAGGGGCACGGAGATGGCTGTGTGAGAAAGATCCGGAACTCCAGAGTGTCGCAGACGCTGTGTCGCCCCAGGACTTCACATGTAGGTACTCGGGTGTCTTATCGCGCTGTATGCGTGCACGCCCATGGTCGCCTCGGCCCTCCGATGTACCTCCAGCCGGTGTTCCTGCTACGGGACGGCCTCCCAAGCGCTTTCATGCGCCCCTGCACTCGCAGGACTTCGCGCTGCGAGTAGACGCTGTCGACACCTGTCAAAGTGAGTGATTTGTCCAACAGCGACGATAGGTGGGGCCTGCTTACCTTATTGCACCCCAGCTGTCCCGAGTGTGCCCGGCGCCCTCCCGCTGCGACACCTCCCGAATGCCCTCTTCTGTGCCCTCCTGGCGTCGTCAAGCTCGAGCAGTCGCGCAGTCGCTGTTGAGCGTCCAGGTTTGCGTCCAAGGGCCTCGTGCGAAGTCTGTGGAAGCGGGGACGTCGAAACGACGCCCTGCCACGCGCCAGATGGTGTCGCTGTTGTTGTACGCGCTCTGACGCGATTGGAGACATTGGCGAGTGCCGGGGAAAGGAGAAGCGAGGTAGGTCGCAAAGTGGAGTGAATACATGTGGACGGAGACGTCCAGGCGTTCCGGCCGGGTGTGTGCATGCGGGAAGAGGCGGTAGAGGCGGTTCGGAGCGCATAGAAGGCGCTGCGGAGTGCGTGCTCACCCGTTTATAGCGCCTCAACGCCCTGGAACATCCGCGCCCCTTGCCGTCCTCTTCCGCGCCATGCGTGTTGGTGGGGATTGTTCGTGGAGGGCCCGTGTGCCACGAGGTGAGATCAAGGGTCCACGAAGATGGCGCCGGCAAGCAAGAGCGTGGTGGCAGGAGAAACGGCGGCAGGAGAAAAGGTGGCGAGAGAACGGGCGGCGCGGAACGAGTTGGGGGCCTGGGGAGCAGAGTCTTCCCTCGGGCCGTGAGCAGGCCGGCTGGGGGGTCGATATCGCGCATACGCGGTCTCCAGAGTGGCATAATGCCAGCGCCGCGCCGCTGCAACACCGCAGTGTAGCGGAAACAAAAGGGAGACGGCGGGAGCCTGAGATCTGGTGAGGGCGCAAGCACCTGTCCCGGGTGCATCACCAGAGTCGTGAGACGCTGAGATCGCGCACGCAAAGAGTTCAACATCGTACCGTACTTGTGGGACTGAGTGGAGGTGGCTGAGACTCCGCAGAATCGCAAAATCGCGAGGGAGAGCGTCGGAGGCGACCCAATACTCGAACACTCGCCACATCGCCCCACACACTCGAATCGCCCTATATACAGCGTTTCCTCCCCTCCAGATGGACTACAAAGCAAACAAGCGCGTTTTCGAAGCGCAACGCGCAGTGCGAGGCTTTTGGGATGCCGCACAAGTCAATGGGGGGACGGCGGTAGTAGAGCGGGAGGATGGGGGTGGCCGGCAGTGCCAGCTTTAACCTGGCACGTCCGAGAAGTCCTGCTCTCACTCGGCGAGGCCAGAGCAAGGCGGGAGCATCCTCTCGCGTGCTAGGGGACAGCGGCATAGGCGCAGCGCAGGCAATATGGCCTGGAAGGAGGAGGAGGAGGAGGCGCCAGCACTGCGGTGCCCGCCTGTTGGCGCTGGCTCGGCTTCCTCGGTGTTCTCGGCCTCGACCACCGGCCCGAGCCCACGTGGCTGTGCTAGCGTGGCCTCAGGCGGCTGTGGCCGGCCTCTGTGCGTTCTGCTGGCACCCCCACGCCCTCCTTCTCTGCGCGGCCACCCCCGGAGAAGCTCCCAATATCCCCGGAGAAGTCCCTGTGCTTCGCGAATCCCCCTTGCACCTTACAGTGAGTTAAATTGTGATTTTAATAAGTTAATTCTTACCTGATTTCTCCGACCAGCTGCAGCATCTTTTGAGTAGGCTCGATGTTCTGCAGAACTCGGTGTAGCAGACTCACAGGAGTGCTTTACACAGGTTCATTGCTGCCCTAACCAAAGTCATGGGCCGGAGAAGCGCAAAGAACTCAAAGAATGCTGCGGTGAGTGATCCGCCCGCTGTCCAGCATGCCTGGCACAAGATTTTGCAGGCCATCGCTACCAGGCCCTTTCTGCTTGACCATATTGCGCGCTGTCTCTTCCCGGACAGCCGCAATCTGGTCACAGAAAACCTATGGGAGCTGGCCAACAAATACCTACCCGTGCCTCCGTCTCCACACTGTGATATCTTCTCCGACTTTCTGGGCCAGTGCTCCCGCTCTGGCGGATGCGTGCCCAAGGAAGTCGGGAAAGCTGCCGCAGACTTCCGCGCTGCAAGGGCCCAATACCAGAGGCTGCGGAAGTCGGTGGTGCACCAGTGCCGCTTGGACATCACGGGGAGCTCCGATGCGGACGTGCAGAAGCGTAGCGCGTTCCTGGCGAAGTGCAAGCGGGTCACAGTGGAGAAGCATGCTACTCCCTATCCGCCGCCTCAGCATTGGGTGGCAGAGGGTCCCAAGGCGTACTTCAAATGGAAGACGTGGTGTAGCAGTCATAAGCTGCACGACAAGCGCGAGGGGCATTGGCCAGTCCACCGCTTATGCAAGGACAAGCTCGCCTATGTTGCAGAGGCCGACGAGAGTGTTCTATTCTATGACCCGGATGGAAACCTTGTCGGCTTCGTGATACGCGACTTCTGCGCCAACCAGAAGATTGTCGACACCATTGCGGAGGATGTGGCCATGGGTCGTTCTTATAAAAAGAACGTCAGGGTGTTGTTTTGCATATTTTTCATTATGACCGCAACATCAG